GATTAAGGAGGAAGAGAAGGAAAGGGAAGAGAGTAAGGGAGGAAGAAGAGAAGGAGGAAAAATGAAAGAAAAGGAGGAGGAAGGAGAAGAGGAGGAAAAGGAGAAAAAAAAAGGAGGTCTCTCAGCCATGGTGCCAGGGTCAGCTCAGGTCTAGGGCCTCCTCCCCCGATAGTCCCATAAGCTTCCTCACCCTCCATGGACTGGCTGGGGATGGGGTCGGTGTCTGGGTTGGGCAGCCTCCTGGGGGGCTTCTGGTGGACTGGCATTGGAGCAACTCCAGGAGTTCCCCAGCCATGGGCCTTTCTTACAAAGTAGGGGACAACATTCAACTTTTTTTTTTTTTCTGGCGGTCATGGAGGCTGAACTCTGAGCCTGGGCGCTGTCCCTCAGCTCTTCAGTTCAAGGCTAGTGCTCTACCACTTAAGCCACAGCACCACTTCAGGCTTTTTCTGCTTATGTGGTGCTGAGGAATTGAACACAGGGCCTCGTGCATGCGAGGCAAGTGCTCTACCACTGAGCCACCTTCCCAGCCCAACATTCAACTTGAGGAAAACACCCAAAGTCTGCCTAGACCCAGGCTGGAATTGAAGCTGTGTGGATTGGACTTTTCAGATCCAAGTCCCTTGAAGTTCTCTTGTCCACCAGAGGGACAGACAAGGGGGATTTCAAGGGAGCCTGGAGTGGGGGTGGGGGTGGGGTGGCAGGGTGGCTCTAGTCTAGCCCCAGGTCAGGACTACGGTTACATTTCCAGGCCATACTTTGGTGAGAAGCCAGGCTGTTTCTGCAAAAACTCTACTAATCCTCCATACTCAGGAGGCTGAGATCTGGTTTGATGCCAGCCCAGGCAGGAAAGATTGTGTGATTCTTATCTCCAATCCACCAGAACACCAGAAGTGGTACCCATAACCAAAAACAAAAAGAAAAAGCTCAAAGTGGAGTTGTGGCACAAAGTGGTAGAATGTTAGCCTAGAGAGAGAGAAAAAAAAAAAAAAGGTCAGGGACAGCACCCAGGCCTTGAGTCCATGAACAGCAAATAAACAAATAAACACCACCCTCTCCCCTAAAAACAAAACCAACCCAACCCAGGGCTCTGAGATGAACTCATTGTTTGCTCTGAGTCCCAGAGCCCAGGTTAGATCCTACAGATGTCAGGGGCAGCTGGACCAGTTTCTCTGCAGCCCCAAAGCCCAGCCGGGGAGGCAGTCATTGGCTAGCTTTGTCAGGGAAGCCAGCAGGGCTGCTGGCTGAGTTGGAGGCCAGTGTGGGTGACCTGGAAGAACCCTGATGGGTTGAATCTGACACAGATCTGGAAGACAGATGCTTCCATGGTCCCGGCCCCCTAGCCTTCCTGTAGAATGGGACAGATGGCAGGATTGCAGGGGAAGAGGAGGGAGGTGTCCTGGGATCTGCCAGGCCAGGAGGGCTTCTGGGATTGTTTGCTTTGGTGCTAGTACTGGGGCTTGACCTCAGACACGTACGTTCTCACTTGGCTTTTTCATTCGAGGCTGGCTCTCTACCGCTTTAGCCACAGCTCTACTTTCCAGCCTTTTGCTGGTTAATCCAAGGTAAGAGGCTCGTAAACTTTCCTGCTCCAGCTGGCTTTAAACTGCAATCCTCAGATCTCAGCCTCCTGAGTAACTAGGATGACAGGTGTGAGCCACCAGCACTGGTTTTTTTCCAGTTCCTTTTGCAAGCTAAGGTCTCCTTCCCATTTCAAGGCTGGACTTCCCTGCTCTCCAGATCTCAGCTCACAATGGCCACCCACCCCAGGAGCCCTGGCAACCACACCCCTCAGATCCCTGTCTGCCTTGTGACTTTGTCCGTTTTCCTCCCATACTACTGGATGGTGCTGGAGGGCCTAACACCACCAGCTAAGACTTGTGTTTGTTGAATGAATAAACAACAGCCTCCCGCCCCCTCTCCCCCGCCCCCCTTCCCCACCAGGCAGGAGGCAGCAGGTCTCAGCAGATGACACTTGTAGTCCATTTCAACCTGGTGAAGAGGAAGGGTTCCAGCACCAATCAAGGACTTTTCTGGAGGGACTGAGGGCATGCTATACTGTGTGAGTTAGAAATACAGAAGAGGGGGTACCCAGAGCGGCTACTCTGCCTCTGCCCATGGATAGGTTGAATGTGGGTGTGATTACCCCTACTTCTCCAATTAATCACCCTGAGGTGATTCTTTTTCTCTACAGCACTTAGTAGAGACATCCCGAATCTCTCAACATCTTGGAGAGAGAGTCTAGCACCTGGTGCCACCCAGCCTGGGAACTATGGCTGGAGTAAATTGCACCCCATCTCCTGAGAACTCTCGAGTTTGTTAATGGAAACCCAGCGATCCGTGACGCGTGCGTGGCAGACATCTGCTCGGGGGTAATGCGGTGGTAATGTGTATATCGATGATCAATCTGTGGATTTGCAAGAGAGGCATAAAGTCTTTAATTATAATTGCATTGGGCAAGCCTGCATGATGGCAGCGACATTTGAATAGGTCACGGCCAGCCCTCACCCCAGTTATGTTGTTGGGATTAAATGCCATTCACTCCAAGGGCTGGGAACATTCCCGAAGTTGTAAGAGATCGCAGACTGGCAAATTGAAAATGTCCCTTTGCTTTTAAGAACATGATTGATATCCTTTGCAAAGCAAATTCTACACCTCAAAGTGCACAGATTTTGCCCAGTACCCACCTCATTTCATGCAGCTGCCAAATAGGCATTTATTTGGTCAGGTCACCAAGAAACCCTCTCGTTTTGAGGCCAAGTCCTGTCTTGCTGAGAGCAAAGGGGTTTTCTATTGCAAATCAAGCTTTGCTAACTAGAAAAAAAAAAAAAGTAAAGCAAGAACTCCAAAGATAAAATGCAAATTTTATTTGCTTTGTTGGTCACAGGAAAAAAAATCTCTTGGCATAGTCTATGCCCTATACTTCTGTATGATACCATCTGGACCTCACTGGCATCTAAATTATATCTAGTCTAATTTGAATCGATGCTTTTTACCACGTTAACAAAGGGTTATAAATAACAGCGACACAGACGGACAAATGACACATGCCTACCTACCACACATGCTGGCCGTTCCCACAGGTTAGATGAGCCCCGAACAGAGAAAGAAGCCAGAATGGAGCCTCAGATTGGTGCCCAGACTCCCTCCATTGCATGGACACCTAACTGGTATTGTGTGCCAGACACAGATGCATGACTCTACTTCTGCATTGTGCCCTGCCAGTAGGGGGAGCCCAGGAGCTTGGCTCTCTTGGAGTAGAGCTCTAGAAATAGGAAGCTGTTGTGTACAGGAGGAGAACCTTGCATGGCAGGCTCATCTCTGCCTTCAGGAAAGGGCAGTGGAGGCTGAGCATCCTCTCCTGCTGGACTAGAGGGCAGTGACTGGTAGAAGCTGTGGTAGGCTAGGCCTGAGGGCCAGGGAGTGAACATCTCACTTGGTCTCCACAACAATTTAAACAATATGGAGGTTCTCATTTCAGAGTAGGTGTACAAAGGTGAAATGTCAGGCCTTCTAAACAGAAATGCAGCTGGGCGCTGGTGGCTCATGCCTGTAATTCTACTCAGGAGGCTGAGATCTGAGGATCATGGTTCAAAGCCAGCCCACACAGAAATGAAGCCAGGTCTCAGTGGCTCTTTCTTATGGCTCTGATCAGCCCCTAAGGCCTACCCGGACTTTGTTTCTGGCCCAGACAGCCTGCTTCATTTGGGTGATTTTTGTTTTGTTTTGTTTTTCCCTATTCACAAAATTAGCCAATCATCTGTCACCCTAGTGAATCAGATTAGGTTGTAATCCATACTAATATTCAAATTAAGTCACAGGAAGCAATTAACTACACACACACACACATACACTCAGGGCTGGTGAAAAATCAAATAGTTTCACTGTACATAATTGTGTTTTTTAAAAAAATTGCCCATCTCTACACAGTAATTAAATCATTTACATTTCAAATGGAGTGTGCCCACCTCCAATGCTAGTAATTGTGCGACTCTGAATGTGGCTGGGCTGTTAGGAGAAGCCTTGCCATCCGCCAACCGCCATCCATGGAGGAAGGCTGCTTTGGGGACTCAGCTGTTGGTGAATAAAGGGTTGGCTTCCTTCCTAGAAAAAAGCCAGGAAATAGGGCTTTGTTCCCAATATCCCCACCCACTTAAATTTGGGATCCTCCCTCTCATATTCCCTTCTTTCATCCTTCTTTTCTATACAAAGTGTAAGAGAATGATGACTGATGGCTCACATCTGTCATCCTAGCTACTCAGGAGGCTGAGATCTGAGGATTACAGTTGGAAGCCAGCAGGGACAGGAAAAGAAGTCAGTGAGTCTTTATCTCCAATCAATCACCCCAAAGCAGGAAGTGGAGCTATGGCTCAAGTGGTAGAGCACTTTGAGCACAAAAACTCAGGACATTGCTCAGGCCCTGAGTTCAAACCCCAGGACTAGTGCACCCGTGTGGGCACACACACTCACGCACATATGTAAAAGACTTGTAAAACCTTCACCAAAATATTCTGCCAACAACACAAGAAAGAGTTGTCACTTCAGATCATATTATAACACGGAGACAATCCTAAACCTGGCTTGGTGTGTGTGTGTGTGTGTGTTGGGGGGGGGGAGATGAATGGTCACATGACCTTATTTTACCTTATTTTTAACTACAGCTTGAGCTTTGAGCTTCACCAGCTTGCTGTCAGCTCTGGGAAGAGCTCTGGTCTGTCTGGGAAGTCACTTATTACACACATCTCACACTGGGCCAAGGACAAAATTCCCTCTCTCTCTCTCTCTCTCTGAGAGCATAAAGTCACAACATTACAATCAGTTGCCTCTCTCAAGTCCTCTTCCCCCTTTCTTTCCCATCTAGGGTCTAGGGGAGACGTTTGAGGGGTGTGGTAATCCCCTCGCCCCCAACATACACTTTCTTGGCTCTAGGTGGGATGATCCTGGAGCGACCCCCTGGAGCGACCCCCCAGGGAACCAGCCTCAGCTCCTGGGGCCTCCTCTCACGCTGCCCAAAAGTGGAGGCTCATGGGCTGGGGCTCCGGCGGGGGGCCTCTGGCCTCCTGCGTGAGACAGGGCGACCTGAGTGTGGGAAAGGGGTCCGGGGAGGAGAGGATGTAGTCAATGCTGAATTTGATGTCTCTGTGAGCCCCGGCGGCGGGGCTGGCGGGACCCCGAGGCTCCCCGTGGTGCGGGACTTGCCGGCTCCCGGGGGACCCGCGCGCCTCCGCCTCCGCCTCGGGTTCTGGGGGCCCCGGGGGCTCCTCGCGCTTCACACCGCGTCTCCGGCGTCGCCGACGGAAGTTGCCATTCTCGAAAAGGTCCAGGAGGGACTCGCAGCCACCTGCGAACGTCCAGTAATTGCCTTTCCCTTTCTCGTGGCCCTCGGTCCGTGGCACCTGTGGGACATGGGGGTGGGGTGGGGTTCAGCGCGCGCGCGCGCGCTCCGCGGGTGGGGTGCGCACGGGCCTTAGGGGGTGGGGTGGAGCGGGATGGGATGGGATGGGGGTGTTGACTAGAACTTTCCAGCAGCTGCCCCGGGTGAGGTTCCCTCCCCATCCGCAGGGGTGCGCGTGGGGGTCCCCCTCGGGGGTCCTGGGGTGACTGGGGAGCGGGGCTCGCCTTGACGAAGCAGCTGTTGAGCGACAGGTTGTGGCGGATGGAGTTCTGCCAGGCGCGCTGGTTGGCGCGGTAGTAAGGGAACTTGCGCATGATGAAGTCGTAGATGCCCGACAGGGTCACCCTGCCCGCGGGGCTCTGCTGGATGGCCATGGCGATCAGAGCGATGTAGCTGTGGACGGGGCTGTCAGCCAACGCGGGGACCTCCGAACGCCCCCCAGCCCCCCACACCCCTCCCCCCAGTGCCCCCACCAAGAGAGCTGGAGCTCCCCAGGGAGTCCAGCGACTGCCCCCTCCCTCAGCCCTAAGGGGCCACCCCACCCCCTCTTCAGGGCTCCAGAAGGCTGTGGAGGTGCTGTGGGAGGGGCTCTCTGGGGTCGTGACCCCCCTCCCCGCTCTTAGGATATGGGGGACCCCATATAGAAAGTGGGGAAATCTCACTCTCGCTCACGAACTCCTCCCGAAGTGGGTGGGTGGGGGAGCAGCCTTCCTCCCCTTCCATCCAGGACAGGGCCTGGCGAACCCCCCGCCCCCGAGAGTCCCCCCAACATCTCCCTTCCCCCGCCTCCCTGCCCCAGCGGTCATCACCTGTACGCGGGCCTCGTGAGCCGCTTCTCCTCGTCGGAGCTGCAGGCAGGATAGTCGTCGGCGTCGTAATTGAAGCAGTTGTAGGGGTACTGCGAGCTGTCGAACATCCTGGCGGGGCCTGGCTTCTGGGAGCCGCCGCCGCCG